ACTAGGCCACCCCCCGAGGTTTTAAAAAAAACTTTTTTAAAAACTATTTAAGATATATATGAATCGGTGCAACTTTTAACGTTGATTTCAAATCTGATATTTCCTCGACTGCAAAAGAGGGTCACGTAAGAAAATCTTGTTTGTGTCATTCTGTTTGTCCTAGAGTCAAAGGTCAAAGATCAAAAAAACATTTTTCTTGAAAATGCTTAAAACTTTATGAAACATCGTTTGAAAAGAGTTTTGAAGTTCGATGCTGATTGGATGAGGGATCTTTATAGTATCAAAACTGTAGTCCATCAATCCATTTAGAAACGTCAAGTAGAAACATATATGTCAGTTTGTAACTTATCGTGCCTTCAATAAATGAGCGAAGTAGTTTTATGGAGTCAATTTTCGTCTCTTACTGATTCTAAAGGAGAAAATAATTATCATTATTATCATTTATATCAACAATAACAACAACTACATCGAGTAGCCATTATCAGAGTTAATTACGGCAAATTAAAAATTCATGACGCAGCCGATTGTTTACCTTAAGCAAGAGAAGAATTGAAAATGTTTACATTATTTTGTCATGGATGGTGGCCAACCATGTGCTAAGTGAGGTTGAGAGTGTCGAAAAGCTGTTTGGTGTGGGCTACCGTAGGTTTTTTACTCGCTAGTTCTGGTTTTTGGAAAGTTGGAAAGCATTTTGGAATAGGAGATACATACAAAAAAGATGTTGTTCCCAAAAGACAGCACATCTTTTGCGTGTGGAAGATATATTTAAAAAAATATTGTCATATAAAAGAAAAGAAAAGACAAAAGAAAAAAGGGAGAACGAGTTCATGAAGGATCGAAATCATAACAAAAACAACAACAATGTTAAATAGAACGGTCGAAAAGTTAGGAGCTTGGCTTATTCGTTTGTTTCTGCCGAGGTCAAAGGTCAAACACATATAAACGGATATTTTGACGATATCCATGGCTCCTCGTAAGACGCAGTTTAGTGCTACTACCTTTGAGGTCTACTAATCGCGTATTGTGCGATATTTTCAGCCATCATATGATGCATTTTCCCGATAGATCCATCTGACCTCACATAGCCCACTATGGGTGAACCGAACGGTCTCTGCGCGGCATGAAGCCGTAGTAGCCTACAGTTTTGATGCGGCGCAAATTCGGAGTACTCATAGGTTCTCAAGTCCTATATTATGGGGATACCCAAGTCTGATTCAGACAGGATCGTGTCTATAGATTTTCAGGTTCTTCACTATGCGAGTTCCTAAGTAGCGTATTTTAAGGATAGCCTGGCGTCGTTAAGTCATGGCGGGCTCAGAAATTAATAGTTCATACTAAAACAAAAAAGTGAATTTTTCGTCCGTACGAAGATACTGGGCTAGTTAGCATCCCTAACGATGCAGAAAACTAGTTTTTTCTTGCACAGTCGAGGGTGAAGTGAGCCGCAATGACGAACGTTGCTTGTAAACATTGGGATACTTGTCTTTGATTGTGAATCTAAGTATTTCTTCCAATGAAAAATGCATAATCTATCATATATCTCAATGCTTTTAAAAATATTTTTCTTCAAAAGTACTACTGAATTTTTTAACAGTCATGATACATAGATAGATTACTTATAAATTTATCGTTTGTGATATGTCTTTTCTGGTTCTGAAATATATTAAAGACATTTTTACAAAAGATCTTGCAATTCACAATTAATACTGTGCTCAGTATAAATAGATTGTTTTTGACATTTTTCTCTCGATTGTTTCAAAATAGAATCTATTACCAACAACGATAAATTCATCAATATTAGTTCAGCTTCATTTAACTCTTGTCTACCTATTTCTTACTGTATTCATACTGTCAATCATTCTTCGTTGTTCGGTATCATAAGCACCAGTCATTTGAAATAACAAATGGAAAAACACTGAGATTTCTGCCGACTATAACTTTCAGAAAGACGGAGAACCATCTTGTTGTGTGAGTCATAGTCATATATCATGATCGTTACCATTTTTATTTCGTTTTCAATGTCTCAAAACTTATGAAAAATGATTTTTAACGTGTTTTTGAACTTCGTTGTTTTTAAAAGTTTGATACAAGAAAGTTCTTCAAAGTCCTACTATTTAGTATCACTAAACCCCATTTTTCACGAGCTTTCATTTGGTATAAAATTTGTGATATCTTCGACTCGAGATCATAGTGTTACTCCCCTAGAATAATATTATTTATCACCCTGTACATGAAATATAGTTATTTTCTCTACATCCACCCACATACAATGTATTTATTTTAAAAGGGAAGCAAATAAGGCGTCAATGAACAATAATTCTTCATAGGATTGATTTAGAAGAAAAAATAGTTTGTATCAAATGATACTAACTGTCCTATGTGAATCTTCCCATATAGCCGAAGGCCATGCTCAGATACAGGATAGCAGTCAAAAACATGTAGATACTGGTGAAATAGAAATCTTTTTGACAGCATCCATATGAAATACCAAACAGATAAGTGGCCATGCAAAAATTTCGCTTACTAATGCGGAATGAGTGCCGTGTTCGACACATTCGTCGATTCATCTTGATTAGTGGATCAGTAGCGAAAGATATAATAACTTTCAAGCAATTCAAACACGATTTTCTCTTAGATGAAACGACCGTTGTTATCATTGACGGTTGATTCTGAACTGCTACGGTCATCGCTTGTTTTATTGGTTGTTTTGTCGAAGACATTGTTTGGTTTCCATTACCAAATTTCGGTGTTACAATCCATTGCTTCGCAAGCCCATAGTTGAATAAACCAGATATGATAGCAGAAGTGTTATGTAGAGACATGGCATTCATAAAGAAGATGTATGGTAATGCGAGATATATTCCATCACGCGTGTACCGTACAACAAATATAGTGGCTGTAAATAAAATGTAAAGACTAACGGCAGTGTAAACATACCATTCAGATATCCATAACGAGAGTGGAGTGATGACAGTAAATGATAAAATATTCACAATATGAACATAGTTTCGAAAAATGTACGAGAGACAACTGAGCTTTTCAAACCAAGATATATGTGTTGACCGAATAATTTCTCCAGTGAGTTTTTTCGCTATCTGAATTGGACCAGAAATCCAGCGATGTTGTTGAGATAGATAAGCAGATAGTGTTGGAGGAAGCTCGTTAAGACATTCGACGTCCTTCATGTAAACAGCTTGCCATCCGTTAATGTAAACTCGTAGCGCCAAATCTAAGTCTTCCACCAGTGTATCTGTATGCCATCCACCTACTTGTTCAATAGCTGCTGTTCGCCATACGCCACCAGTTCCATTAAAAGTAATAAATGACGATGCACGATATCTGCACTCTTGTTCACATTTGTGATGAAAATTAAGAAAAATTTCTTGCATACGCGTAAGAAATGATTCTTGAGCATTTGTAAATGTCCATCGTGCCTGTACAAAAGCAACTGCTGGATCATACATTAGAGCGGGAACTGTTTTCAGAAGGAAATCTTTGTTCGGTAAGAAATCAGCGTCAAATATAGCAATGTATTCGGCCTGAGAAATGGATGGCATTGCATGTAACAAAGCTCCAGCTTTAAAACCTTGATTATTAGGCCGTCGAGAGATGCCTATTGGAAATCTACGACACTCCCACTGTTGAATACATTTCTCGACAAGTGCTTTTGCTTCGTCGTCCGTCGAGTCATCGACTACTTGGACGAAAAGCCGACTTCGTGGCCAGTCTAAGTTACATGCATGATTGATAATTGCTTCGCAACATTCGATTTCGTTTTTCATCGGCAATTGAACAGCGACAAAAGGGTAGCTAAGCTCGTCTGTTGGTACAGGTAACACATCGCGTAGCGTTGGACAAACGCGAGGTCGTAAACGTAATCGAACGAATACAAGCACCAGCCGCTCGAAGTAACATAGAGCTTGAACTATTATATATATTATAATGAAACATTGAATAATATACTGTACTACAAGATAAATATAAATATCAACAGAATGACGTAAGTTTTCCCCATAGTTAATGCTTGCTCCTAGCGGTGGCATAGTTTTCTAGACGAAAAATGAAATCTAAAAGAAGAAAACATATGACTTGGTGATATATAAAATTAGGATTTTATTCCTACGAGTCCGTGCTATTACAAAAAATCAAATTTCAATGGGTGCGGATCGAAATCCTGGCGATATACGGAACAGATAAGTATTTCATTTCTATCGTTCACTATCAATCACATAATAAATATTCTCACCGGTCTCGTCTTACACATCTTTATATTGGATATCATTTTACTTGCATGGATTACTGAGTGTAAACGTTGATATGCAACTAAATAATGTATCCGTTTCAATGACGATAGGATATTTTTGTGTTGCTTGCTGTTCTGAAAACAAAAACATTATCTATTGCTCAGTAAATTGTATAGATATTCTCTTTTTTCTATACAGTACTTATTGTTGTCTTCTGTCTCTGCTACGTGGTATTTTTTAGCAAGAGTATACAGTATAATTAACAGCGATGGCTAGTTTGAAGGCCATTACAAATTGTGAAACACTCGATTTGAAGCGTGTTCATCGTCAGTCCTATATGTAATTCGTTTTGCTACTTGTTTTGTTAGATCATATATTTTGCAAACGACAATTCATGAGGAATAAAGAAATAGGTTTGTTAAAGGCTTTTGGCATGCTGTACGTTCTAGGTGCTCATTATTATTTTCTAAGAATATTTATCAATCCCTATGGTTCCTTCTTAATGGCATTATTCTTCTTCGTTTCTGGTCACTTTTTCAAATCAGTCAATAGTTTTCGCAAAAAAAACTGATCTACTTTGCTCGAATAACGCGCGACTTGCTAACAACATATTATCGACATGATCTGATAGAATATCCAAGGGTTTGCCTTCTCAAATTTTTATTCGCCCGTATGTTGATTGTTCTCGGTATTAGTTGGTTTCTATCAGATCTGTGGACAATTCTGATTCTCACGCAGTTTATTTATCGAAACGAAGGAAACTCCAAACATATTGATTTAATCTATCTATTCTGCCTCTTGTGTCGCGCTTTAGTCAATATACAATGGTCGTAAACTTCCCCATGACAAACAAGACTGTCGAGACTGGAAACTACTTTACTACTTCTCAATCATTCCCTGTTAAAACTTATTCTCATTCGAGTATATTTCAGTTTATTTTTCTTCTTCTGTGAGATATTGTACCGTAAACACATCGAAAAGTGTCAAGATATCGTCTTCACAGAAATCAATTTTTGTTTAGTATATATTTTTTTCTCGCAATTAATCTATCACCACGATACAAGCAGTACAATACATCATTTTAATTCATAAATCAGTCCGACACCATTTTAGTTGCATGTTATTACAGCGATGTTGAGTAACTATCTATCTATCTTTACCGCAAAATGTGCCTCGAAACAGCTTACAGACAGCGGTCTTTCGATAAGGATAGAACGGGAAAGTTATCACATTATGTGTCAACATATGATAATCTTTTTGCTGCTCAATATTGTAACGATTATTATCTTTCATGATGGAAATCTACAAGTTCTAAGCTCGAACGTGAACTACAAATACAAAGCAGAAGTAAAATGGCCATTATGTGTAGGTTCTAGCTTACTAATACCGACGTTTTCGACGATTTATATTCGGAAGTGGATTGGAAAACTATTCTCCAGAAAACCGCTACTCAACTGAGTTGCGATGACAATTGATACATGTATATGTTTGGTACTCATACTAAATATATAACGTTCTTATCAACTTACAAAAAAAGATATAACTCTTCTCTCTACCATTTATTATAAAAGTACATCAGTTTGTAGAGAAATAGTCTTTTTTGGCATTATCACTAGAATGACTATCTTGATTTAAAATAATACAAAGATATATACGTATAACAATACATGCGCTATTGTGATACAATGATATACAACTACACTTTTGTGATAGTATATCTTCATATCACACATACCGTATGTAACGACAAACCGGTTAAGTAGCTGACCGCTTCTCATGCTGTTAATGTTTATTGATCTTACTCACATCTAAACTGTGTCTATTTTACAATAGGACACACGCTTAAATAGATAGAAGAAGAGAAAGATGAACAGAAGAGAACAAAAAGAAATCATATCATCATCGTCATCATATCACACATACCGTATGTAACGACAGACTAGCTGACCTCTTCTCGAGATGCAAGCGTTTATTGACCTTACTCACATCTCAACCGTGTCTACTTTACAATACGACACATGCTTAGATAGAGAGATGAACAGAAAAGGACAAAAAGAAATGATATTATTCATCGTCACACTCCATAGACCGTATATATCGCAATATCAGACGTACTACTATAGTCCTATATTGTTATAACCTTATATTAGTATATCACCGTGGCACATATTGCTGCATTGCGGAACTAAATTCATTACTGGATTTTGTCGATATAAATATCTAGTTTCAAACTTGTCACAAAATCAAATTTCCTATGAACTCGATAGTGTTAGAAACTTCATTTTCATCGTACATACATATATGCCTATTGTAAAAACGGAATAATGCGGAACATTGCAATAAACGATATTTTTTTTAGATGTTTCACACGAAGATGAGATCCTAAAGACATTTAGACCTCTATTTATGAGGCTACCTGAACGTAATCATCGTTGTAGTTAAGGATAAGAATATTTTTCTTTCGTTTGTTAATATTTCATTGACTTGTTTTCTACGATTATCAATAGAATAAAATCCATGATAATCGTGGATGCTTTATTCTACTGATAGAACCGTGTATTTTTCGTTCGACTAATTTAGTTGAATGAGGGTTACCCATATAGTTCTCTTTTTGTTTATCTTTTCTTTTTCATCTGTGTTTATTCATTAGAGATATTGGTAGCTGAAGTTTTTTGACAAAAACTGTTCGCATTGTCTGTAACGAAAAACGTACTAATTTGTTATCGAACAGTCGATCAACAACTCGTTCAATACGATAAATTTCATAGACCAAAGTCTGGCTGGAAGCGTATATGAGATAACTGATTGATGATAACATTTTTAACTTAACTAATTCTTCTGTTGATGGGATTTACTCATTTTATCTTTTATAGATGATCATGCAACATGTGCTACGATTCTTTGTTACCATTTGTATAATATTTCTAGGTTTATATCTGATAAAATGGAGAGTAATTGCGAAAAATGCAAACGTATCAATATTGTTGGTAACAGCTATTCCACCTTCATCGTGTAAAGGTCCTCATGGAGATTTCGTCAATATTCAATCTATCAAAAACAAATTACAATATTGTCAAATGAAAGGATTTTCATTTCATTTCAACATGTTTAAAGTTGATCCATTATTGACCGGTGCATGGAACAAAATAGCATTGTTACTTTATATACTAGAAAATAATTTAAATTATGATTGGATTCTATGGTTTGATATTGATACATTAATACTTGATATGAATTTTGATATCCCTTTTCATGATTACATATCATATGATCTTATTTTATATGGTGATCATTATAAATTATACAACGAAACGGATTCTTTATTGGGAATAAATAGTGGTGTTATGTTCATACGAAATAATGAATGGTCAAGAAATTTGATGAAACAAGTCTTGGATTTAGGTAAATATGGAGAAGAAAAAATGAAATCAACTCTGAAAAATTATAGACGACATTTAGTCGATCAAAATGCATTTGCTACTTTATTGCACGAAGATATAACATTTCGACGTAGAGTCTTTTTTGAACAAAAATTTGGCATAAATTATTACTGGGAAGAAGCAAAGAAACTGCAAGAATGGCGTCCTTTCGTTTTACACTTTGCGGGATGTGAATTTTGTGATGGTATTTATAAACAAGAAAAAGAAAAGTGTTTTCCCTATTGGAACAAATATTTTCCGAATTCAACTGAACATTTTTCTAAAGGATTAATTTAAAAATAAAATATTTTGTCGCATATACAACAATAGCGAAGGCGATTGTAAATCTTTTGAATAAAAAGTTAAAAAATTTAAATAATCATATATTTTATTTATGAAAATATAAATGAATTTCAATGATATGGAACTATATGAATATATTTAAACAAATATGCGAAACTTGTGAAGAAAAATCATAAAATCACAACAACATTTGAATCTCGATTTTCATAAAATATGTTTCTAATCTTTTGCGAAAGAGAACAGTTCAAATTGAATACAACTAGCAATTCTTTTCTTGATTATTTTTGATCGATTGATTTGAAAATGAAGATTTATTTACTTTTGTTTGAAATAATATGCTTTCGAAAGAATTGATAGAGAACAAACAAAATCTGATAATTCATCTTTTATTATCCATTGATTTCTTGATCAAGCTATAAATATTTTATTCAAGAAAAGAAAACGTAATACCATAAGTGCAAAATTATTATTGATCAATATCGTAATTGATTTCTACTTTGAATGATTTGTCAAATCATTAATGACAAACAAGCAGTAAAAAATATCTTTAAATTTATTAGAAAAATATCATTGCATATTTTTTGTTTACTTTTTGAGAAAAAATTGATAAGAAAAGACTGAATATATTATTCACTATCGAGATTGTTTTTATTGTTCATTTGCCTTTACACATAACAAAATTCAATGGAAAAACACAAAACATCACCATGTGATATTACCACAGAAATCTATTAGAACATAGACAAATTCTTCTAATAGAAAAACTTTATTTTTATTTGGTTGAATTTACGTATATTTGTTTGAAATAAATATTCTAATTAATCATTTACAAAATTGTTTTAATTTAATTGAAATATCTTTTGATTCAAATGAATGTGTTGATTTTCTTAGTAATATTAAAGATGGAGATGTATTTATGATTATTCTCATATATTTAAAGAAATTATTTTAGAAATTCAATTTATTCCAAATGTCAAAGAAACATTTATTAACTCTTGTTGTCAACAATATGTTTATAATAAAAGAATATGAGAAATAATCAGTGAATTTCAACATAGTTATGATCTATTAAAAGTTATTTGATCGTATACAAAAAAATCATTTACCTATTCTATAATTTAATAAAGCATTATTCAAGATCTACAAACTGTATTAACAACAGAATTTTTTCTTAAAAATCTTCATCAATAAATTCAATAAATATATTTCGAAGTAGAACAATCAACAATAAAAATAATGGTTTATCGTGGACAAGGTTTATCGATGAATGATTTAATGATGATAAAAGATAATCTTGGTGATCTTTTATCATTTAATTATTGCTTATCAACAAATCTTGATTTATAAGTTTCATTTATATTTGCTGATAGTTTTCGAAATGATTGAGATGTTATTAGAATTTTATTTCAAATCGAAATTAAGTAATCAATATCATCNTTTCAAAGGAAATGTGTAAATCAAAATCAAAAAGATTATTTCACTTTGTTAGTAAGTTCTCGTAGGTATTAACACGTTAATAGTATTCCAAACGAGTAGGAATCAAGCTTGGCAAATATTCTTTAACTCTGGTAGCGCATAAGATGTCATGTCCTGTTTTTTGTTTATTTCTAAGAATCACAGTAACACAAAGTGAATTATTTTGAAGAAATGATCTAAGAAAATGAATATATAGCTTTCGACAGTGAAGTCGAAGTAGATGAGTGAGTGGAAGCGTGTATGTCAACGACTAGGCGTTTGGTTCAGAGGCTTATAAGAAATAAAATAAAAGTGAATACACAGAGTTTGGAGTGTTGGAAATAGGGGTGGACCATTGAATTTAATTTGAGTTAATTAACGGAATTATTTAACGTTAATCTTAACCGTTAACGGGTTTCAGTAAATCCGTTAACCGTTGAAATCAACGTTAACGAAATCTGTTAATTAATGTTCGTTAATTAACTAAAATTAAATTAGATGCCCTAACCCTAGTTAGGTCAAACTCGTTGAGGTCAATATTAAGACTAATGGGTTTCGTTAACGTTGATCTCAACGGTCAACGGAATCCGTTCACGTTAATTTCAAATAAACGTAAATGTGCCACCCCTACTTTAGAAAGTCAATAAAATAGAAAAACATACTTCTTCAAATATATAAATTAAAAATAAGTATTTGAAATTAAGAAAGTATTCGAAACTACTTTGAGCAGTACGAAAAGTCTACTAGTTGTACTTTATTAATATAGATATTGAAAATAACTATTTTTTGTCACATGGATACTCTCTGATGCAAAATATAACAAATAACATCATATAGTTATTTTCATTTTTGATCTTAAAATGTATCTTTCACATACGACTATGTTGCTGGTATGGTCAAATTCACCAAAGATCGAACCTACCTTCTAGCGCGACTAGGAGAGAGAGAGAGTTAACGGTTAAAATAAAATTCAAACGTTGGTAAAAAAAGAAAGGAATCTGTATTTATTTTTATTTTCGAAAACTGTAGTATTATTTAACTGATAAGGTGATTTCCACCAACCCCACCATATGCAAACAACAATACACATAACTAAGAAGATCATATACGAAACACAGACATAAGGGTGATTTTTTCGATAAGCGTGATCATATCAAAAAGTAGACATATGAAATATAGTATAAATAGCAATTGATTGTAGAATTAGTTTCGATACATCATTATATTTTGTTCTTAGTTCAACTAAAGCAAGAAATCCAATGAGGATATCTCCACTTGCTACAACTTGTACCCAAAATTCACCTGATGGTGTAGGTGAATGACCAAAATATTTCATTGTTTCACCAGGTAAGCATAGATAAAGTAACGAAGAAAACCATGGAAAAATGATTGAAATCCATGANATATCTCCACTTGCTACAACTTGTACCCAAAATTCACCTGATGGTGTAGGTGAATGACCAAAATATTTCATTGTTTCACCAGGTAAGAATAGATAAAGTAACGAAGAAAACCATGGAAAAATGATTGAAATCCATGAATAAATCTTTAGTAAACTTGTCATGAGTTTAATGTACAACAATCTTATGTATACGGTCAAAGATATAAGATGACAAAAGATACATTGAAGAAGTGCTGGTGCTACTACTACACGATATGCATATTCTTCATTGTTTTGACATTGAGAATTCGCCAGAAAAGAAAAAACAACGATTGGTGAGTTCTCTTTATCAATTCGAGTATGCGTATAAAAGATGTGCCTATATAGATTTGTTGGAAATTTGACGGGCTTTCCGATTCACTATCTACTTTGTCAAAACAAACAATTGATAGTGATAATATAGGATAAACACCGGGTCTAGTTATTTTTGATCAGAAGGATATATTATCTGTGTGAAAGATTTACTTGAAAAACATTGTCAATATTTTCACAATTAGATTAAAAAGCTTCTCACTTTGTAGCTTTCACAAAAAAAAACAACATTTTTTTCATAGAATGATTGCTGTAAAAGTTTTGGGCAGCATTGACTTTTTTTTATAAAGTCGTTCGATGAATTTAATGTTTTAAAAATGTTCTGATAATTCGGTAGAATCTATCAATGTATAGAATATCATAAAATACGTTTTTATTTGGCAAAGTGCGTTAGTATGACTTAAATGTATAGGATCTCTAACATTCTTTGTAGGGAGAATTCGGTTTTACATCTATTATTTAGTCGTGAATGCCACCTCCATGCAAGCATTTCCTTTCGGTTGCTCTCACTGTATGTTATACAGAACCTTATGGCGTTTTAAAACATTTCTCGTTCTTTCCCTCCGAAAGCATAAATATCAATATAATTTGAAAGAATCTGTTGGCACATTTCACCAGAGGCTAGTTCTTCAGATTTATAATATTAACGCAACAATGTCACTGAAAATCAAGTTTCGCATGTATCAGACATTGTGCAAATCTTCTCTAAGTGAACTAAATTTATTCCAAAGTGGTATTGAAGATGAATCTGTTATACAAAATGAACGTCGATCGACACATCTGTATTTGATTCTTTTAGTCGCATCATTTGTTATAATAGCATTCTATTATTCTCTTGAATCTCGTGAAAATACGATTATAATCAAATCTCCTTCATTTGTCAAATATTCAAGTCTGCGTAAAGGAGTGTCTTTGTATTGTCCTTGTACAACAGTAGCGGTAAAGTACAAACAATTTGTTGCCATTGAGCCTGTTTATCATGAATTATGTCAAAGTGACTTTATTTCGGAGAGATTTTTCCAACAATTATTCAATTTGTACAAGAAAACTTGGAACAATTCAATTCAAACTGATTTTCATCGAATAGCTGTATTCCAATTTAAAACACTTGGAACATTTTGTCAATTAACACAAGAGACTATCACACGTGCTGTTAAAACATTTCTCCAGACAGAAATGATTCAATCCCAACTGCTTACACAAGATTTTTTTCAACTTCATATTGATTTATTATTAGCCGATTTCGTTGAAATGACTCCAAAAACATTTTTAAGAACGCTAACATTTATTCAAGATATAGTTGCACAAAATTTATTTCTGACTGGTGCCTCAATAACAAGTGTTTTACCTTTTAGTAGGCGCCGTCCAGATTTTAACAACCCGGGCAGTGTCCCATTTCATGGAATAAAATATACATTCTTCGATAACTCGCTTCATGTCAATATACAATTGTTCAAGAAAATAGTTTCTTATTAATTGTAACACTCCTAATTGGTCTCTATGGTGGTTTATCATCCATTTTAACTAATATTTGTCCTGTCATCATTAAAACAATATTACCATTGATTCAAAAATTTCGTCTCAGTCGACGGCGAACAATTACCACACAAGATACAAACAATAGACTTAATCGAGGTAAATAAAAATGACATTAAATGAAGAAAATTCACAGTGAGCAACAGAGAAATTGTTTGAATTTATTTTTCAGAATCTTACACAATCAACGAACGGATAAAAAAACTTTTTCGATTATTGAAACAAAAATTGATCGAATTGAATCTATTCAAAAGTATTCCTTCAACAAACGATACAAATATTCTTCACCAACAATACACTACGACACGACTTTATCTAATCTTGATGCTTTCTGCTGTTATTATTCTCACTGTCTTTACATTACTTAGACGACAAACAATTCATGTTACTGTTCGTTCACCTTCTCTAGAAGATTTTCTTCGTCTTGATGATCAATATTCATTGACACTCAATTGTCCTTGTAATCAAATATCAATAGAAAATCGATTGATTTCATATATTGTACCAGAATATCATGAAGTTTGTTTGAGTCACTTTGTCACTTCGTCTTGGATTGATCTTCAGTTTGCTCAATCCTCACCGAAACTCTTATATACTCATGATATTCGTTATCATTCTCAATCTTTTTTCCAACTTTTATCAACATTATGTCGTGTAGCAAATCAAACAGTTTATGATTCTCTTCAATCATTCTATCAAACTAAATTTATTACAAATCAAGTACTTAGTTCTCAAGCATTTCAAACGCATATCGATGTACTCGTAAATCAGTTCAAAGTCACTGTACCTGAGTTGNTTTTTCTAAAGGATTAATTTAAAAATAAAATATTTTGTCGCATATACAACAATAGCGAAGGCGATTGTAAATCTTTTGAATAAAAAGTTAAAAAATTTAAATAATCATATATTTTATTTACGAAAATATAAATGAATTTCAATGATATAGAACTATATGAATATATTTAAACAAATATGCGAAACTTGTGAAGAAAAATCATAAAATCACAACAACATTTGAATCTCGATTTTCATAAAATATGTTTCTAATCTTTTGCGAAAGGGAACAGTTCGAATTGAATACAAATAGCAATTCTTTTCTTGTTTATTTTTGATTGATTGATTTGAAAATGAAGATTTATTTACTTTTATTTGTTTGAAATAAAATGCTTTCGAAAGAATTGATAGGGAACAAACAAAATCTGATAATTCATCTTTTATTATCAATTGATTTCTTGATAAAACTATAAATATTTTATTCAAGAAAAGAAAACGTTATTCGAATAACGTAATACCATAAGTGCAAAATTATTATTGGTCAATATCATAATTGAACTCTACTTTGAATGATTTGTCAAATCATTAATGACAAACAAACAGTAAAAAAATATCTTTAAATTTATTATAGAAATATCATTGCATATTTTTTGTTTTCTTTTTGAGAAAAAAATTGATAAGAAAAGACTGAATATATTATTCACTATCGACATTGTTTTTATTTTTCATTTGCCTTAACACATAACAAAATTCAATGGAAAAACACAAAACATCACCATGTGATATTACCATAGAAATCTATTAGAACATAGACAAATTCTTCTAGTAGAAAAACTTTATTTTTATTTGGTTGAATTTACGTATATTTATTTCAAATAAATATTCTAATTAATCATTTACAAAAATGTTTTAATTTAATTGAAATATCTTTTGATTTATATGAATGTGTTGATTTTCTTAGTAATATTAAAGGTGAAGATGTATTTATGATTATTCTCAATTCTATTATTTGAAAGATTCTTCTTCTTATTAAAGATATTTCGCAATTTGAGAAGATTTTTGTATATGATAATAATCAATGAAAAGATAAAGATGGAATAAATTTATCAAAGAAAGTGAAAGGAATTTTATTTGTTATTGAATCAATATGAAATACACTTGAAGAAACTATTTGTCATATTGATATTATTATAAAACCAATTAATACCATCCCTAACACAAAGAACACAAATGAACTCGATTCTGTTATTTATGTATTCTCAATTATTTAAAGAAGTTATTTTGGAAATTCAATTTATTTCAAATGTCAAAGTAACATTTATTAACTATTGTTGTCAACAATATGTTTATAATAAAAGAATATAAAAAATAATCGGTGAATTTCAACATAGTTATGATCTATGAAAAGTTATTTGATCGTGTACAAAAAAATCATTTATCTATTCTGTAATTTAATAAAGCATTATTCAAGATATACAAACTGTATTAACAACAGAATTTTTTCTTAAATATCTTCATCAATAAATTCAATAAATATATTTCAAAATAGAACAATCAACAATAAAAATAATTGTTTATCGTGGACAAGGTTTATTGATGAATGATTCAATGATGATAAAAGATAATATTGGTGATCTTTTATCATTTAATTATTTCTTATCAACAAGTCTTGATTTACAAGTTTCATTTATATTTGCTGATAGTTTTCGAAATGATCGAGATGCTATTAGAATTCTATTTCAAATTGAAATTAGTTCATCAACATCATCAATGCCATTTGGTCCATTGAAAAATCTTAGTTTTTATTCGCTCGACTGAAAGGAAAGGAGGGTCATATGAAAAAAATAGTTTGTATGTTTGTCTCAGGGTCAAGGGTAAAAAATCATTTCTTCTCAAAATGCTCAAAGTTTCATGAGACATCGCTTGGGAGGGATGAAGGCGCAGGGACGTGACAGAGATGAAGAAATTATTTCATCCGCGGCTGAGAGCAGGCCTACATAGAAAAAGTTGATTACGGAAAAACAAAAGCACAGTCGGTTGACTCTCGCATACCAAAGACCAATAATTCAAAAATACACTCATTCACAAGTTACATACTGGAGAGCAGTCTGAAATGCTGAGCCTCGATATATTGAAAGTTTTCGTAGGTCTTCAAGCTTTTTAACAAGGAGATAACTTCAGATGTTCGGACGCTGATAATCTCATCCGCGAGATGCTCCTAAAATTCTAATTAACTTTCGATACTTTTTAGTAGCAACACCCTCAATTATGTGCTTGTCAGCCAAGAACATTGAATAATCAAAAGGAACACAAGTAGTCTTTTGGTTGTTTTGAAGACTGTGAGGCGAATGAAGATCAGTCTCTGGGGACCCTTTCAAAGGTTATACTTCTGTCTTTTTTTGCATAAAATGCATATAAGACTATTGTATTTCCAGTCAATGGTTCAGTCGAGGGCTTAGCGAGTCTGCTTCGACGAGCGTTACTATTATTTATATAACGGTGAATGTCGAATATCATTTCCTATGTCAACTAATGAACAATTAGGAAGTTCTATTGAATATCAATTCATATGTCGATGTTCACGCCTGTTCCGTTATGCTGATCGTTGGGAAAAAATTATTTCAGAAAACTTTCATTACATGGTCGTGAATTAGGACTTAATTATCGATGTTCAATTTATTGAAATGGTACTAATTTTTATTAGTTTTATATTTTCGGTGTTATTTGTTAATTAGCTTTGAAAATTACTTATGAAATAAATAAATAAGTAAGATAATTATTTCGTTTGTTGTATTGTCTCTCGAAAGAAGAACGGTAAAAATAATAATCTAATTGATTAATGGTTCATATAATTCAGCAGTATTGAGAAAAGAAGTTGAATCATATCCACCCATAATTAAAACTTTACCATTTAATAATACATTTGCTGTATGTGATGTGCGTAAGTCATTTATTTCACCAGCATTTTCCCAAGTTTCCGTTGATGGATCAAACAATTCAGTCAAATTACCTTTATAACCACCTGCCACTAAAACTTTTCCATCTTGTAAGACAGATGCTGTATGATATTCTAATGCATTACTCATATTCATAGTCATTGTCCAAATACCTTTAGTTGGATCATATAATTCAGCACTATTTAAAATACGACTACCATCATGTCCACCCGTTACTAGAACTTGCCCATTGGATAAAAGTGACGCTGTATGACCACCTTCTCGTACTTCACTCATATTACCCGTTACTGTCCAATTTTCCGTCAATGGATCATACAATTCAGCAGTATTTAAAGCCAAATCATTACTTTTTCCACCAGTAACCAAAATTTTTCCATTAGACAATACAGTTGCTGTATGTCCTCTTCGGGCATAATTCATCTTACTCGTCAATACCCAATTTTCACTGGGTGGATGATACAATTCTGCACTGTCTCGTGAACCCAGACCAACAGCACCACCAGCAACTAATATTTTTCCATCTGATAATAATGATGCCGTATGATAATGTCGTGCATGATGCATATTACTTGTTATTTTCCAAGTTTCTGTCGATAAATCATACAATTCTGAACTGTTTAAATTAGAAGGAAAGTCATTATTATAACCACCACAAATTAATATATTTCCATTATTCAAATTAGATATCGTATGTCCATATCTTTCCGTATGCATATTGTGTATTATTGTCCAATTTTCTGTTAGTGGATCATATAACTCAGCATTTCGTAAAACTAAACCATTATATCCTCCAACGACGAGTACTTTTCCATCCCGTAATAATGTGGATGTATGAAGACGTCGTGACTGATGCATTTTACTAGTATTAGACCATCCTAAAATAGGTACATATTGCTTTCAATGAACTTTCTGTACGACTTACGTGGCTGTGGTATAATTGTTGTTGATATTGTAGTACTTGTGCTTTCTTGAACCTTTTTCGGAGTGAGAATAACAAATTTTAGTAGTAGAGAGAGTGTAATCACAAAGATAATGAAAATAATAACAGAAATTAAGATAATTCGAAACCGACGATGATTCCACCATTTTGATGTTCTAATATTTCCAATAACACGTCCAACATATGCAGAATTTTGATTCATTCTATTCTATTTTTTATTTGAAAAGAACTGAGGCACTCCTCTAGATTCTTTTATTCGTAAAGAATATCAAAAGATAAGACCTGTTATTTTTTTATCATGCTATCAAAGAGAAACTCTTGTGAATCATAATTGATATGTTTAGAACGATAAATTAGAATATGAAAACACACACTGTTCTATAACACGTAAAACTTGACAAATAACAATATGTAGAGAAACTATATGCTGAATTTAGATCTGACATACGACTAGACAAAATGTACCGTTTAGAGACATTAAAAATAGTTAAATAGTCCTTATCTAACATTCAAATGTATTCTGAAACTTCTATATTTTTCAGTGATTTCTCTCTTCTGTCATATCATATGACTAGAAGTTCTAGAATAGATGCAAAACCAATTTTAACAAAGTTACAGATAAGTACGGGATCTAATGCTTCATCATATTTTATAATTAAGAGATACGAGAGAAATCTTTTCGTAAACAAAGAGCGGATGATGATAATGATCATTGGTCTGATCGAATACTTTTTTTTATATTCCTGTTTTATTTTTGTCTACCAAAATAGTAGATCTAAATTCAAGATAGAGGTGCTCTAGAGAAAAGTAAAGATAAGACCTTATACTGTAGATTATCTCAATAAAAAAATTGATATTTTTGGTTTTCCAAAACTCAAAGAATCATGATCCGCACTTTCGGTACACCGTAAATGAAAACATCCGACTTTAAAGCAAGATTTATTTAAGAGCAGAAATAAGATAAAATGAAAGTCTTACGAAAATACGATAGTTTGACTTAATTATGAACAGTCTTTAACATTTCCATCGAAAGGAACAACCTTCACAGTTCGGTGATTCTGTAGTTTCCACATTTGAACATAGTCCCTTGCTTCCGACAAGACATCCTTTAATTTTGCAACAGCATCTAGTATTGAAAAATCCGCATCATTGACCTCGTTTTTGCATTTCAAATCTTGCCTGGTAGATTTTTTAAATAAATTTATGATTTTAGTTTTTCTTAATTCTAAATTGTTTCCATTTGATCTATGTTCTTCATCAGATTCAACAATAGCTGCACACTGTGTCAACCCTATGATAACAAATAATAAACATAAACTTGCAATAATCTTGGTTTCCATTTTTGTCTTTTGTTTGACTTGAACACGTTAGATCCTTGATATCTAGATATCAGATTGAAAAACTATATTTTCAACAGCATCGAACATTTGAATAGGTTTAAGTTAACGTTCATCTAGAAATCAAATTTCATGTATTTGATATAATGCTAAAATAAAAATAATTACTCGAACTAGACTATCTCTTGTCACTACAGGAGAGTAGTGAAGTAATATGCTCTCTTCGAATAGTTGCTCGAATTGATTAAAGTTGATCGCTAATTAACGTGAATCATAGGTTTTGACTAAAGATATCATATTTTAATTTTCTTTTTGGTAAAACATTTTGATGGTGTCACTTCTGACATTACTTATTATTCAGAAACAAGAAAGTGGATGAAGATAAGTCGTCCATGAGAAAAAATATCACATAGATATTAATTGATTTATGGTTATGATCAATTTCGTGTATAAATAAATAATGAAAATCGTGAATTATGAGAAGTAAAACATCCCAGGTCGAACAATCTCATGCTCGGATCCAGCATTGGATATGTTGATCTGGAGCTGGGAAACGACAGTTTAATTGCATAATCCATCTAAGAAATCTTAGATTTAAGTTATTGCAGACTGTCATGAGCATCAGAGTGCTGGCCCATTTTGGCACAAGAAGAAAAAGTAATTGGATTTTTCCTATGTGCATAAAAAATGGAACTAGCAAGTCATTATCAAAACACATTTTTCTACAGAAATGAATGGAATGTATGTTGATTTGTTGGAATTCTACGAAAATCCATATGTCAGAATACATAAACGATAATCCAATCGTTTTGTTTTCCGAATCGTTCTAGTTTCATATGATCCAGACATGTGCGGTCCACGGGGATTGACCTGCGAGGACCGCGGGGCCACGTGGTATGGGCGAGTACGACCATAGACAAAAAGACGGGATTCCGGGTAGGCGGGGGGCGAAATTTTTCGGGGATGAATAGAAGACCGTGAAAATTTTCCAACAGCAACAGATATCGCTTTTTAACGTATATTCGAATAGTAAACAATGACTGGTTCATTTTTTTAACCTACCAACAACAGTCTATTTGTTCTTCTTTATATCTTTATTAATAATCAATATCCAGCTTGAATATTTATTGTTTGGTTCCATTGTTAAGTGAAACGAAAACTAATTATCAGTAATTTCCTTCAATTGACACCTGTAATAAAATTTGTCCTATCATTAGCAATGATTGACTTACATGATTTATCATGTGATGAATCGTTTGATGGTATAACATCATCAGATATATCTTGTTCATCTCCAAAGACTGGTGCTGCATCTAATAAAAGTTCATCGAATAGTACTGTGTACGATTCACCCAGAGTGAATGATATTATACTCGTTCGATCAGCTGCTTGTCATGGAATCAATCAACTATAAACTTTCTCCAATATTCTTTTAAATAAACTGAGCAATTATGTATAATAAATTATCAAAAAGCAATTAATTAAAAAATTCGTTCGGGTCTCACAGGGATGGAGCGGGCCCGTCTAGAAATTGGTGGGTCGGGCGGAGCGGGTCAGCAAGCGCCACAGGTCGGATTCCGCGGGGCATGAAAAATCGCTGCCCCGCACACCTCTGATATGATCTAATGATCCCATTCTCGCGTATTGCCGTTACCTTTGAATAATTGAGTATCAACTTCCGTTAGAAACATTTTTTACCGGTTGAATTGATATAACATTAAACTGGTCACTAGTAGAAATCAGTCACTGTAATAGACCCACTACTGAAAATGACGGTGTCTTTGGATAATTGGTACCCTTGCAACGTTTTCGATTGTCAGCCTCGGTTGATTGTCGTGGTAAAGTTGATTACATAATGGCTGAACAATTTTAATCTTATCAAGAAAAGATCTAGACGTCTGTCATTTTCAGAAACACCAGTGTGAAAAATGGTAGAATGAACTTAATTCTATCGATCTTGATATGGCTGATACCCATGTTATCATTGATTTTAAGATTGAAACCAATGTATATCACATTTCTACTTTTCCTGAAGTGCACATTTACTGAATAAAAAGTGTAAAATATACGTCTTAAATATTTTGTAGGATATTGTTTTATCTCGTTCTCTCATGTAATCTATACCAATCGAATATAATTTTTTTTTATTTGAAAGCTTGTAGACTTCTCTTCAAAGCCGTATGGTCGAAATCAGTTTACAATTGAATATAAAAAAGTTATGGCAAAAACAAAAAGGGGGCCGAAACTTATGAAACACCTTTTTTTGCAATTTATTTTCCCTCCAACCCTTAGGGTCCTAAAGGGACAGTTCTCTACTAATATCAAATATGGTGTATAAAGAAAAAGAGAAGAAAATATGAAGGAAATGCGAATGAGAAACAAAACAAAACAAAACAAAACAAAACAAAACAAAACAAAGCAGTGTAGATGAATATATAGAATGGTTTGATAAACTACAGAAGGAACGAGGTACAAAGAAACAGGCGGTATAGAGGAAAAGAGCGACATTACCCATTCAATACATCTTGCGTTTTGATCCTAAAAGGATTCGGGAAATTCGGCTAGGCATATAATATCTTCGTTGTCGAATATAGCAATCGAGTCCGCTGTGCCATGATTTGAGATCCATTCCAGCGCACGACTGAATACATCAATGTGTTGGACAAAACGGACCGATCGTCTCAGACATCGAATAGGGCGATTACCATCTCTCCAGGCAAGTCTGTGTTCGTTCAGATACATCTGTTCAATCAGGAGAAACCCATCTAAAGAGTGGCTCAGGGCTTTTAAGTACTTCATCCAATAAGCATAGCAGTTATCGTCGAATGATCGTTCATCGAATGCATATGCGAATAGATGGTTGTTCCATTGCAAGCATCTTAGTGTTCGTTTCAGGACAGTATAATAGAAATGATTGATTCTTGAACGTTGATGTTCGGTGAAAAGAGAATGAAGTGCGTACACCCATGTGAAGAACGGAATAATAAATGTTGAGAAAAGAGATCGGCGCAGTCTTCTTGACGTTGCACCATTAAACTTAATCGAGTTGATTATTGCCGCTTGTTGGCGAATCTTCATGAATGTACGATTAATTATTTTTCCCCATCCTAATTTTGTTGTACTTCTGAAACACCTTTTATAGTATTTGTCGTCATATAATTCTTCCTCTAGACTAGAGAGTATCAAATTGGTCCATATACATACCCATAATACCTTATCAGATAAGTCAATTTATTGCTGTGGCAAACTTCTCTTTTAGGCCTAAGACTCTTCCTTTAGTGTATAAAAACTATGCTCGATCAACCTTTAAACTAGTTCCAAACGATGTTTCATTGAATTTTGAACATTTTTGAAAAAAATGTTTTTTCCACCCCTGATCTCTGACCTTTGACCCTGAAACAGAGACACAGACTAACTATTTTTTATGACCCTGCTTTTAGTCGAAGAAAAAAGTAAAAAACGACATGTGGATGATGGGCACATATAAAAAACTAAGGAGGACCATGATGAATGTAATGAATCAGGTTTCAAAGTATCCCTAAAAGATATTCTCTTTATCAGTCATCGCTAAATAAATGTGATTTATTCGAGATTTTGATTCAACACATACACTGTCGAGAAAATGAACATACATTTGTAGCAAAGATTACTCAGTCTCAAAATTCAATATACCATTTAGTTTGTTTAGTAAAATATTCATATTATTATTTAGATTATTGAATTTATCTTTGATCTCCTTGATTTCATTTTGAATATTTTCTATTTGTTTCATTGTTTGTTTATTCTGCTCATTCGTATGATGTTGAACGTTCATCAATTCGCGAAAACCTGCACAACTATGGATTAAATTGTTTCTTTCTTTTCGAGCTGTTTGAAAAGCGAGTATTGATTGAAATAATCTACGTTGGACTTGAAAAGATTCAATCGAAGTCAGTTTATTCTGCCGTTTTAGTATCAAATCTTTTATAGCAAATTGAATCACATTTGCTGCTTGATTTCGGAATATTTTATGTAAGTCAGCATCTAATACGAATGTATGAACATACTTTTCTTCTCGATTTAGAAGAAGCTTTTGGGAAAGAATAGCAGTATATATCGCTGTTAATGAAAGACCGCTTAAACCAATTATAGTTGCAATACCTACGATATAGATTAGAGTGAGTTGAGATCAAAACAATTGAAGAAAATGTACTTCGTCCACAATAAGTCGATGGATATTGATCTCCATAACCTGTGACGACAAATCGATATTTACATATGAAGCAACAAAGTTCTTTCTATACCAACCAATCGTAGTAAATGTTACGACGAAAAGCCACATCGAATCAGACATTGAGACATGTTCTCTCGTAGATGTGTAGTTACAAGCACGGAGAGACCAACTGCCGATCAAAAAGACAAGAGTAACAATTGTCAAGAAACATTTCATTGGCCGATGTAGAAGATACGATTTAATCAGAAAAAAAGGATCAATTGTAACATGGTTGAGATATCCCACTAGCCTCAACGGTGGATTACGAATCATTTTCGAATGGATCTTAATAGTTCGACCGAGAAGATAAAGACGTAAAAACACTATTCATAATAATTCGTTTCTTAGTTTTACATGAAAAATTCAACTTTACTCGGTAGACCAAGTCCAACATCAATAGCCGTATAAGATAAAGAATAAGGATCGGAGAAAGATGTTGAATTAATTCTTTCAGGGTTTATATAAGGATATGATCGAGGCATTGGATGAATTGAACAGATTAAGAATTCAATCATAATCGAGAATATCTTCACAGATGTCACTTGGACACGCCAATCTCTTATTGAATTTCTAAAAGCATAAAATTTCATATTCAAATAATGATAATATAAAATAAGAGCAAGAAGAATAATTGTTGTGATCGTAATTATTAATTTAATAGACCAACTAACTTTTGTATCTTGATTGTCAATACAATTAAACGTTAATTCATTTTCTACAATCATAAGAATGATACTCGAAATAGCTAAACAAGACATTATATCGCTTATTATAGTACTGAAACAAAAGAAACATTTGAAATAAAGGAAATATATATGGATATATAACTTACAGTCGAGTTAGATAGAAGTGTACTATGTATAATCTACGACTGACATAACCTACAATTTCTCTGACTGCTGGCGTTTTTTGGAGAGGAATATTATGAATGTCCAAGTGCTTTCGTGTTGAGTGTTTTCGTCTCGATGATTCGATGGGAGGAGCCGATAAGTTTCGATTAAGATTCATTGGAGTTATTGTGAACGATAATTCAATACGAAGGTAAGACTATCGGATAAAACTGACTAAACGGGAAAAACAATTTTGTTAGTTTTTCTTCGAAGACATGCGCTCGCATTTATATTGATGTTAATAATGTTAACAACACAGGTAAAATTTAGGTAGTTATTGTGTCTCTTTTTCATCACGATGCTTTTAAATATATTAATAAATATGCAGTAGAGCGTATCAATAAAAAATTGATTTAATTTAACATTCGTTTGTTGATAAGAAAAAAAGTAATATAATCGTAATTAGTTGATCCAATGATGACTCACGTAAAAGAAACATAAAGAGAACAGGCAACCTTGATGCAGACACGTGGTTTTTACGTTACAAAGCTTTGGTGAAATAGAATTACTTCTATTTTATCTATTTTCTTTATTTTGTGGAAAAAAAACAAAGTAGTATCATTTGGTTCTATGGAGTGAACCAAATTTGGAGTCCATAAGTTTATGTTTTAGCAATATAGATGTCGTAGGACAGATTAAAATGTGTGAATTCAAAAATGCTATGCAGAATTGAATGAGAGAATTCCATGCAAAGTAGTCAACTCGAAAGTGCAAGGTGATGAAACACTATACAGTGTAGGGAGATATGAGACTGAACTTTTGGTTCTCGTCAGAGAGACAAGACAATGATATTCTATTATATTCTCTTCCTTGAACAATTCTTTCTTTTTTTTGAGATTGTATAACAATAAATCAAGTCATCTTTATTCTAAAAGATAAGTAAAAAAATAGGGCTATAAAACTTGATAATTTATTTTCATTTGAAACGAACATGAAAGAAAACATGCTTTTATATGTTTTATTATTTTGCACAAAAGTTTTATCAATGTATTCCTTTGGACATTCCTTATTACCATTATTTGCTCTTGATCCATCGTATATCAATATGAATCATGGTTCATATGGATCAGCACCAAAATATGTTCATGAAAAACTTCATGAATATCAAATGAAAGCGGAATATAATCCTGATCGTTGGTTTCGTCATGAAATTCAAATTGAAATTAAAAAATTACGAGAAAAACTTAGTGAATATGTGAGTTGTGATTCTGATTATATTGTTATTCTTGAAAATGCTTCAACTGGAATAAATACAATTTTAAAATCTTTAAAATTTCATTTCAATCAATCGATTTTATATTATAATATTGCGTATGGAATGGTTAAATTAACATTAGAATATATTTCAAATGAAATTCTTACTCCAGAACAATGTATTGAAATTGTTTTAGATCATCAAACAATTCAAAATACAGATTTATTATTAAAAAAAAAACAGAAGAAACATTAAATAAGAGAGAAAATGTTCAATTAGTTGTATTTGATCATATAAGTTCTATACCAGCCATTCGATTTGATATTGAAATAATCATAAAATATTTTCGTCAAAAAGGTATTTTAACTGTTGTTGATGGTGCACATGCTATTGGAGCTATTCCTATTGATTTGAAAAAACTTGATCCTGATTTTTATGTCACAAATGCTCATAAATGGTTATATACACATCGAAGTGCTTGTTTATTATATGTTAAAAAAGATTTGCAAGATTTAATTCATCCAATCATCACATCATTTGGTTATTTACAATCTTTTCAAGAGGATTTTTTTTGGCTTGGAACAAAAGATTATAGTTCTTATTTAACAATATCAGATGCACTAGATTTTCGTCAAAGTATTGCTAATGAAAAAGAAATCTATTCATATATGCATCAATTAGCATATCAAGCTGGTCTTCTAATGGCACAAATATGGAATAGTTCAATATTAACATCAAATGAGAAATATCTTAGTGCAATGAATAATGTCCAATTACCATTTATTATAAATACATCAAATCAAACAAATAATTTATATCATAAATTAATCAATGATTATAATATTTATTTACTAATGTTTGAATTTGATAAGAAATTTTATTGTCGAATTAGTGCACAAATTTACATGGAATTAAACGATTATGAAAAAGTGGCAAATATTGTTTTAGATATTACTTTCAATAGAAATAATACACGTCCTAATATAGCAGAAAAGAAATATATTTCCAATATTTTATTTCTTAGTCTTATTTTATTTGTTATACTGAAATTATTTTTATCTTTTTTCTTTTCGAAAAATGAAAGTAGATATTTATATTTCTCTATTGATTTATAATAAATATGGTTGACATGATGAAAAAGAACAAAGGAATATTTGATTACAATTGTATGACACTTTTTATTTTCAAAATATTAGAGTATTATTGTCGTCTTTTGTTCAAGATTTCTGTTCATTTAAATGAACAATAAAGCAAGACATGCACTGATATGTACAAAATGCAAAAGAAAAATGATCACATAATCGGAATGCCTTTGAGGGTTTGTTGGCAAGTCAGAGATCACATACTAGAATAAGAGGCTAATCGTACCTTCTCAAATCCTAACTTCATAAACATCAAACGAAATAGATAAGGACAAATCTAAAATTATTACATAGGATCCCGAAAGAATGCAAATTTCTGGTTACTCTTGTTGGAGTGCTTCCAGTAATATTTGATGTTATTCTGCAGCAGTCGGGGGAGCATAGATGACACCGGTGGATTTTCCAGAGATCTTAATCTTTCACTTCCTTTACTATTATCATAGATACACGCTGAACATTTTCGTACTGAATGAAAGTTCTCTAGAAAATCTCTATACAGTTACATTCAGAAGCAACGAAAGCGCCCGACATGTATCTAGGATAAAACTAGGAAAGTGAAAGATTTATTTCACTACTGATTTCACCTGTTAGAATATTTTTGAAAACGAGGAATCTATGAAAAGTTGCGAAATGGCGTATCTTTTACATCTTCCAAGTTTTTTCGGATTTTTTATCCGAAAAAGAGCTTTAAAAAACACAAGACACCTATAATCTTGACTACCGTGAAATTCTCTAACAAATGGTTTATGAAAATAAAAATAAGAATTTTTAAAATTTTACTTTTACTTTGTGTCCACCTCATACAAAACACAAGTTGAATGTTGATTTCAATAAAACCTACAAATCTTTCTGTTCACTTTTCTGAAAGAAAGGGTTATACAGCGTTAAAATTATGGCCTTGAAATGCATCAAGTTTGTCTGTCTGTCCTATTCAATCAAAATACAGCATTTAGTAAAGTAATAAAACCCTGTTCTGCCCGGATCGAGGCACACAAAGAGAAGACGCGTTTCGAACATGCGAACGCAGGTGGTAAAACGTTTGAAACAGCCAAAAACGTTATATTTTAGCTTTTCGAAATCGAGAATCTCGAATATGAAGTTAGTTACAACTAACTATTAATAAATAACTAACCGGTTACTTTCTTAGTTATCAATTATTATCTTTCGTGAGAAGATTTTTGTCGAAGAGTAGTCGAAGTTGAGAAGCACAAATCTGGTGGCCGTTCTGTTGAATTCATTGTTGCTGATCTTTTCCTATCGTTCTGTCAAAGAAAGCATAGTTTAAAGCGATTTTCGGTTTGAATGTAATCAAACGTTACTAACAGTTGCTTGATTAAACCTCATCGCGTTTTTTTTCAATTGATTGTTTCTGAATCTTTTGCCTTTCTCTTCGTTAAAGAAAGGTCTGTCTATATGACGTTCTCAGACTTTCACGAAAGATAATGAAATAAATGCTGGTAGCGATTGTGTGCGCCTGGAAAATCGATTTGAGACTTTGAAGTATAGGACATAGTAACAAGTTCGTAAAAGCTGCAGCTGAAACCATCGCAAGAAAAGATATCAACTTTCTATAGCTTTTTTCAGCATTTTTCGTTCTCGACATCTACATGAGAAAGCTATTCATAGAATATTTCAAAGGAAATGTGTAAATCAAAATCAAAAAGATTATTTCACTTTGTTAGTAAATTCTCGTAGGTATTAACACGTTAATAGTATTCCAAACAAGTAGGAACCAAGCTTGGCAAATATTCTTCAACTCTGGTAGCGCATAAGATGTCATGTCCTCTTTTTTGTTTATTTCTAAGAACCATAGTAACACAAAGTGAATTATTTTGAAGAAATGATCTAAGAAAATGGATATATTGCTTTCGACAGTGAAGTCTAAGTAGATGAGTGAGTGGAAGCGTGTATGTCAACGACTAGGCGTTTGTTTCAGAGGCTTATAAGAAATAAAATAAAAGTGAATACACAGAATTTGGAGTGTTGGAAATAGGGGTGGACCATTGAATTTAATTTGAGTTATTTAACGTTAATATTAACCGTTAACGGGTTTCAGTAAATCCGTTAACCGTTGAAATCAACGTTAACGAAACCCGTTGATTAATGTTCGTTAATTAACTAAAATAAAATTAGATGCCCTAACCCTAGTTAGGTCAAAGTCGTTGAGGTCAATATTAAGGCTAATGGGTTTCGTTAACGTTGATTTCAACGGTTAACGGAATCCGTTTACGTTAATTTCAAATAAACGTAAATGTACCATCCCTACTTTAGAAAGTCAATAAAATAGAAAAACATACTTCTTCAAATATATAAATTAAAAATAAGTATTTGAAATTAAGAAAGTATTCGAAACTACTTTGAGCGGTACGAAATAGTATAAGTTTCCACTTAACATAGTCCAAAATAGTACGAAAAGTCTACTAGTTGTACTTTATTAATATAGATATTGAAAATAACTATTTTTTGTCACATGGATACTCTCTGATGCAAAATATAACAAGTAACATTATATAGTTATTTTCATTTTTGATCTTACAATGTATCTTTCACATACGACTATGTTGCTGGTATGGTCAAATTCACCAAAGATCGAACCTAGCTTCTAGCGCGACTTGGTCACTCCAGTGACCAAGGAAAGGAGAGAGAGAGCTAACGGTTAAAATAAAATTCAAACGTTGGTGAAAAAAGAAAGGAATCTGTATTTATTTTTATTTTCGAAAACTGTAGTATTATTTAACTGATGAGGTGATTTCCACCAACCCCACCATATGCAAACAACAATACACATAACTAAGAAGATCATATACGAAACACAGCCATAAGGATGATTTTTTCGATAAGCGTGAACATACCAAAAAGTAGACATATGAAATATAGTATAAATAGCAATTGATTGTAGAATTAGTTTCAATACACCATTATGTTTTGTTCTTAGTCCAACTAAAGCAAGAAATCCAATGAGGATATCTCCACTTGCTACAACTTGTACCCAAAATTCACCCGATGGTGTAGGTGAATGACCAAAATATTTCATTGTTTCACCAGGTAAGAATAGATAAAGTAACGAAGAAAACCATGGAAAAATGATTGAAATCCATGAATAAATCTTTAGTAAACTTGTCATGAGTTTAATGTACAACAATCCTATGTATACGGTCAAAGATATAAGATGACAGAAGATACATTGAAGAAGTGCTAGTGCTACTACTACACGATATGCAGATTCTTTATTGTCTTGACATCGTGAATTCGTCAGAAAAGAAAAAACAACGATTGGTGAGTTCTCTTTATCAATTCGGGCATGCGTATAAAAGATGTGCCTATATAGAGTTGTTGGGAATTTGACGGGCTTTCCGACTCACTATCTACTTTGTCAAAACAAACAATTGATAGTGATAATATAGGATAAACACCGGGTCTAGTTACTTTTTATCAGAATGATATATTATCTGTGTGAAAGATTTACTTGAAAAACATTGTCAATATTTTCATAATTAGATTAAAAAGCTTAATTCTCACTTTGTAGCGTTCACAAAAAGAACAACATTTTTTTTCATAGAATGATTGCTGTAAAAGTTTTGGGCAGAGTTGTCTTTTTTTATAAAGTCGTTCGATGAATTTAATGTTTTAAAAATGGTCTGGAAATTCGGTGGGATCTATGAATGTATAGAATAGAATAAAATACGTTTTTATTTGGCAAAGTGCGTTAGTATGACTTAAATGTATAGTATCTCTAACATTCTCTGTAGGGAGAATTCGGTTTTACATCTATTATTTAGTCGTGAATGCCACCTCCATGCAAGCATTTCCTTTTGGTTGCTCTCACTGTATGTTATACAGAACCTTATGGCGTTTTAAAACATTTCTCTTTCTTTCCCTCGGAAAGCATAAATATCAATATAATTTGAAAGAATCTGTTGGCAGATTTCACCAGAGGCTAGTTCTTCAGATTTATAATATTAACACAACAATGTCACTGAAAATCAAGTTTCGCATGTATCAGACATTGTGCAAATCTTCTCTAAGTGAACTGAATTTATTCCAAAGTGGTATTGAAGATGAATCTGTTATACAAAATGAACGCCGATCGACACATCTGTATTTGATTCTTTTAGTCGTGTCATTTGTTATAATAGCATTCTATTATTCTCTTGAATCTCGTGAAAATACGATTATAATCAAATCTCCTTCATTTGTCAAATATTCAAGTCTGCGTAAAGACGTATCGTTGCATTGTCCTTGTACAACAGTAGCGGTGAAGTACAAACAATTTGTTGCCATTGAGCCTGTCTATCATGAATTATGTCAAAGTGACTTTATTTCGGAGAGATTTTTCCAACAATTATTCAGTTTGTACAAGAAAACTTGGAACAATTCAATTCAAACTGATTTTCATCGAATAGCTGTATTTCAATTTAAAACACTTAGAACATTTTGTCAATTAACACAAGAAACAATCACACGTACTGTTGAAACATTTCTCCAGACAGAAATGATTCAATCTCAACTGCCTACACAAGACGTTTTTCAACTTCATATTGATTTGTTATTAGCCGATTTCCTTGAAATGACTCCAAAAACATTTTTAAGAACGTTAACATTTACTCAAGATATAATTGCACAAAATTTATTTCTGACTGGCGCCTCAATAACAAGTGTTTTACCTTTTAGTAGGCGCCGTCCAGATATTACCGACCCGGGCAGTGTTCCATTTCATGGGATAAAATATACATTCTCAGATAACTCTTCATGTCAATGTACAAGTTCAACTGTTCAGAGTTGTATGGGCTTCGCAACATTTCAGAATAATTCTGTTCATGGTTTTCAAACAGGTTGTTATATGGTGAGTGCACTTCTCAAATCAACACTCGAAATACTTTACGATCAAACTATGATTGACAATCTCACGAATTCATCGAACAGTTTTTCAAAACTGAATTCGTCAATTTCAGATTCGACAATTGAAACATTACTGAGTCACATGTTTGTCATTCATTGGTCTAACAAAACATCCTTTAAGCAATATTTCAATAATTGTGCACCAGCTTCATGTCAATATACAATTGTTCAAGGAAATAGTTTCTTATTAATTGTAACACTCCTAATTGGTCTCTATGGTGGTTTATCATCCATTTTAACTAATATTTGTCCTGTCATCATTGAAACAATATTACCATTGATTCAAAAATTTCGTCTCAGTCGACGGCGAACAATTACCACACAAGATACAAATAATAGACTTAATCGAGGTAAATGAAAATGACATTAAATGGAGAAATTGTTTCACTTTATTTTTCAGAATTTTACACCATCAACGAACGTATGAAAGAACTTTTTCGATTATTGAAACAAAAATTGATCGAATTGAATCTATTCAAAAGTATTCCTTCAACAAACGATGCAAATATTCTTCACCAACAATACACTACGACACGACTTTATCTAATCTTGATGCTTTCTGCTGTTATTATTCTCACTGCCTTTACATCACTTAGACGGCAAACAATTCATGTTACTGTTCGTTCACCTTCTCTAGAAGATTTTCTTCGTCTGGATGATCAATATCCATTGACACTCAACTGTCCTTGTAATCAAATATCAATAGAAAATCGATTGATTTCATATATTGTACCTGAATATCATGAAGTTTGTTTGAGTCACTTTGTCACGTCTTCTTGGATTGACCTTCAGTTTACTCAATCCTCACCGAAACCCTTATATACCCATGATATTCGTTATTATTCTCAATCTTTTTTCCAACTTTTGTCCACATTATGCCGCGCAGCAAATCAAACAGTTTATGATTCTCTTCAATCATTCTATCAAACTAAATTTATTACAAATCAAGTACTTAGTTCTCAAGCATTTCAAACGCATATCGATGTACTCGTAAACCAGTTCAAAGTTACCGTATCTGAGTTGTTTGAACGTTCATTGACTTTATTAGAAACGAATCTCGAAATCAATCAATTCGCATCATCAATAAACACAGCTATCGCAAAAGAAGACCCACGTGTTACCCCCACATACATTCCTCAGTTGGAGTTATATTCCTATTTTTGGCATGAGCGACCCAAATGTAATATAAATGATTTTTCCACAATTATACACTGCATTTGTACACCGATGGTATTTGATAATTGTCATCTAAAAGTCGTGATTAATGAAAGCGGAGCAACACACGTTATTCCCGGCATGTCGCAAGGATGGTTTCCTTTGAAATCAGTTCTTATGTCAACATTGGAATGTTTTTATAATCAAACATGTCTTCGGCAGATCACACAATTGATTAATTCAACATTCTCTCCAACGAATTTTTCAACTTTGAAATCATCATCATCATCTTTTTTATCGAATAACGTTGAATATCAACAAGTTGGTTCATTAGCTAATAATCTGTTTATTCAATCATGGAAGAATGATAGTTCATTTCAATCCTATTTTAATCAATGTCAACCAATAGAATGCTCATATACTTATACAAGTCGACCAAGTCTCATTTCTATAATAACAACAATAGTTGGTTTGATTGGTGGTTTCAATACTGCGTTACGTCTACTTCTCCCGTTTCTCGTTCAATTATTGATTAAAGTTCGGAAGTATTTTCAGCGACGACAAAGTGTTGTCATTACGATGCAAGAGACTCATTGTTCAACAACAGGTACGAAATTTCACAATCTGGTTGTATTTGGTAAACAAACGATAGAAGAACTCAATCTTTTCCCAACAATTCCACCATCAAATGACTCAAAAGTAATTCGCAGAGGTCGTAGAATAACTCGAGTATATTTGATTTTACTATTAACAGTTTTGTTTATTCTGATACTTTATACATTATCAAGACAAGAATCAGTTACAAAAATTGTTAAAGATCCATCACCATTAAAATACAGAGAGTTATTCTCTAAGTACCCTTTCAAACTGCAATGTCCTTGCAGTCGCATGGCAATTAAACACAATCAATTTATTTCCCGAATTGAACCCGAATATCATCCAATTTGTCAGAGTTTATTTGTTTCTCCACAATGGTTAGATAAGGTGATAAGCTCTAGTTTTGATAAGATGATGCACGTGCCTCATGGTGATGATTACAGAGCATTAATTCACGCACAATTGCAGACTGTCGCAAAACTTTGTGCACTTTCTAAAAGTATGTTGAACATATCATTGTCACGATTTGCACAGACAGATTTTATCACAGCTCTTGTTATCTCCAACGATGAATTTAATTTTCAGACAGAACTATTGATTGAACAGTTCAAACAAACAACATTCAATCAGTTTATGGAAATACTCAAGTTGATTCAAGTGACGAATCATGGAAATCAATTAGCGGCAGTGTTGAAATCAAATTGGAATTTTCTTTTCGAGAGATCTTCTGATTACGATGAAACTCCTAGTCTACGAAAAGATATGTTAGCTGTTCCACAACAATACGGGACAGAGAATTGTTCATGTGATGTACAATCGAACTGTTCTAAGTTTCCCGGATTTTACTTTAATACACAGGATAAAGCATTTGGCGAAACAATACAAGGATTTCTCGCTGGATGTTTACCGTTGAATGCTCTTCTTCAATCAACTTTGGATTGTTTCTTTAATGATCTATGTGTATCTATGATGCAAACATTTATTTTCTATCATAAACCTTTACCATTCAAAGTTCTCAAGTATTCATCATTGGCAATACCAAATACAACAGTCGAAACCATTCTAAGTCGATTATTTGTGTCCAATTGGTTACAAAATACATCTTTCGATCTTTACTTTCGTCAATGCGCTCCTCGATTGTGTCAATATTCCTATCCAATGGAATATAATACAGTTTATGCTATGACTACACTGATTGCACTCTTTGGTGGTCTAATCACTGGTCTGCGTTTCTTTGTACGATATGTAGCACTGATAGTCTACAAAATCGTTGATAGACGTAAGAAAACAAGTCGAATGGCGCCAAATTTACATGAGCCGAATGTGACAGTGATCAATGAAGATAATAATATTGCGAATATTACTCCAGTTCCGACAACAGCAGAAGTCCAAGTAAATACATTTTGTCAGATTTTATTTCGATATCATATTTCTCTTTCAGTTATTGTTTACAGTAAATGGCGGAGAAGAGAACAGATCGTAAGTACAATTCGATAAATGGATGCTTTGTGCTATTTTCCATGACATAGAAAACACAAAGATCGAGTAATCATAATTTGTATTTGTCTTCTGTCCGTAACAACCATAGTTATCACTTGCATCGTTTTATTTCTACATCGAAAAGAACAACAAGATTCCATAATATTAACAACAAAAACAACTCAATCAATGACGGATAGTACAATAACACCATCGATGTCAAAACCAACAAGCATGTTTTGATTGTGATATAAAAGAAAAGAGTAGATTAATTGCAATTCTTTTAGATTCTTTTTGTCATATGACTTTAAAATATCAATCTCAAACATATCAAACTGATCTTCATCCAATGTCAATTGCTACTGGTGATTTTAATCGAGATTCAATTATCGATTTAGCTATAACTAATTTTGAGTCTCATACTGTAAGTGTGTTGTTAGGAAATAGAAATGGAACATTTCAGATTCAACAAATTTTATCCACTGGAAATGGTTCTGGTCCACAAAAAGTAGTAACGACGGATTTTGACAACGATTCATTTTTAGATCTGGGTGAGTATTGGGAATTTTGTATTAGAGATTTCTTCGTGTGTGCGTGTTGATAGAGTAAGTTGATAAAGACAAAATAAGCTTTGTGAGATTCTACAAAACTATTGTTTATTCAAAAATAATCTTTCCTGTCTTTAGCTGTAACATTATCAATAGAAAAGAGAATTGTGATTTACTTTGGTACCTCCGAAACAAATTTATTTCACTCGCCTCCATACAATTTTTCTTACTATGCTTATCGATATCCACCGGATTTAATTGAAGTCAGTGATCTAAATCTTGATGGATTTGTTGATCTGATTGTTACTCAAAATGCAAATATGACGAATATTCCGAAAAAACTTATTTGTTTTCTAAACGATGGCAGCGGATGTCAGTTTAAGATTGCGAACTATTTTCAATACTATTTTGAAGACACGGAAAATATTATTGACATTGTTATTGGTGACTTTAATAAAGATGGAATCGGGTCTGACATCGTTGTTTCTTTTCTCAGTGGGCTTCTTTTCCCGTTTTTCTATAATTCCAGTAATTCAGATCCGTATACGGGACTTACTCGCACTGGGATGACAAATGAATATCCATCGAAAATGATCAAAGGAAGATTCAATGATGACCAATCGGATGATGTGGCAATAATTTCTTTTCGCTCGAATACCTTACAAATTGAATTTGGTTTCGGTCAAGGAAAATTTTTTACACAAATCTATTTGACAGACATTTATCCAACATCTATGGCTGTGATTAATTTTAATAAGGATGGTATTGATGATTTGGCTATTTTACATTGTAATGGAACGGTGAGTGTATTTCTCGCGTTGAAAATCGGAATTTTGGATCGACATTATTTATCTTTCTCAAACTATACAACAACCAATGGTAAATGTGCTCAATCTTTGAAAGTTATTGATTTAAATCAAGATGGTAGAGATGATGTCGTTTTCGTTGATCCAGAAATGAACGTTATTCGACTTTTATTAGGTTCACCATGTGATGAATAATTGTCAACATTTTTTCTCGTACTTAATACATTTGTTAAGGAGAAAAGAGAAGAACTGATTGAAATTTATACACCAGGTTTTCAAATCTCACAACGAATTCTTTTTAGATATATTCCATAATAAGATTTCATACGCATCTATCACATTTGACATAAGATTGGATTGGTCAATATAAGAGAATAAGAAACAAAAGATGAAATTGTGTCGTTTGATTCTTTTTTTCAGTTTCTTGTCAATCATTTGATCGACTCTCTCTTTAACCTTTTGAGTCCCTGAGATGTATATATACGTCCAAGTGCAGTTATTGAGAAGAGTTGCTCCTAATATATTTCTTAACTATTTAGAGCATCTTATTATCTTTCAGTAGGTAATATTAGACACACATAATCTTCCTGTTTCCTCTGGACATGTCAGTATTACATATTTATGTTGTATATGCTTTATTTCGTTCCAGTACGATTACATTTCTCTTTTTCTTTTATTTGAATTGATCATGGAAGATTGTTTCAAAGACCACCATACAAAGATAAACTAATCGATTTTTAGCATAAAAAACGTTATCTTCTTATAGAGATAAAGACTGCATGCAAAGGTTTCTTGTAAAAGCTTCCGATTTTTGCAAAAGAAAGTCGGGACTCGAAAGGTAAATTTGGCATTGACACTTCTCTCGAAATGCACGTAAGACGTTCCTTGTGCTCTATCTCACGAGTTCTACTCGCTATTTGAGTCCGCTTTCGTTGTCAGCAATAATCAGTTCTTGAATATTATTATTACTAATGACCGGTTTTCGTATGAATATCACTTCTGTCAAGTGTTACAACGCCTTATCTGTATGCTTTCGTTTTTATTTTGACTAGTTTCGGTTACAATACAATACCTCCTTAAACTGTATCTACGAAACAAAATATTCAAGTCAAATCGTGATACGAAAAATCATACTGACTAAATTAACGAATAATTCTCTAAGCGAAGCAAGGATTTTACATAATATTTCGTGTTATGTAGATAGAATACTTATGAACAGTGAAATGAAGTTCATGAAAGAAAAAATAGAGTGAATATCTTTCACAACCAGTATCAAAATGCGGCGCGCTTGAAAATAATTGGTAGGAAATCAAACGTCTGTAAATTGCTTGCTTGCACAGACATTGAAACACAAAATCTGATAGAAGTGATCGGTAAGTAGATTATTTACCTTTGCGACGTTGTGTATCAGAAACGCTTATATAATGTATTCACTAATAACTTTCTTCAAAACGTTTTTAGTTAAACGAACACCGGCGCATGCTAATGGTTTGATGAGATCGACCAAATAACCTTCTTTTTTCTTGTCCAAATATACAGGACAACCACTGCCAATACCTAACGAAGTGTTGGTCACGTACATTCAAATCATACTTTGTGGAACACCGTAATTTGTCAATGCAAAAACCGACGTCATCTCATCATCCAAAACAGCAGTCACTGCATCAATTAACTTTCGTTTGTCATACTGACCACGTGGAGCAACCGTTTTCTTTTGGCCACTGGAAGTCATTGGTTCGATTATCTACAAGAAGCATAGGTTTTCCGATCAACATACGTACAAATTTGGAGAATGAGTTCTATTTTCGCTTAAAAAAAACTGTATTGCACCTTAAAAGCATCATTGAGTATTGTCCTTCTTCGAAATCATCACTTCTAAACTTACTGAAGTATCGTTCAATGTAAGGAATAAATGAAATATATCTAGTTCGCTCTAATCGGCAAAAACCGTTGATTGAACAGACATATTACACGTTGCTCTAATCGCTAATCAATCTCTTCAGGAACGCGACATCTACAACAATAGCCATATGAAAGCTTGTTCTCATACTATTCAAAAGGGCAGCGTTACAATGTTTCGTTATTCTACATCTATTTTTACGAATATAGATAGAAAAACATTTGTGATTGATGAGGATTTCATCATCTTTTCTAAGTGTGTCGTTCCTACGGATGAACAGTGACTTGACGTCACTATCTGGAAGAATTTTTTTTCCGAGTCACGAGAGATGATCTTTGAACATCACAGAACCCACTTATTACTTCATCAAGGAACGATACACCGCTAGATATCGGTAGTATTTGAGATGCTCTTCAAAATTGTCAGCAGAACTTAGGGTCGTTTTCTGAATAGAAATTGTGAAAAGAGCCATTTTCCAAAAAGTTGTCTATTTTAGCATAATTTTCGCTGGAACGTCGCTATTAAGGAAGAAAATTAGCTGGCCGTCGTTATTATGGAAGTAACACCTAATAACGACAGTAGGACTTCTTCATTTTATACCGGTGATTTCTCCATGAAAACATGAACGAAACTGAATAAAAACTATACCATTCGAAAGAGCGTCATCGATAGATTCCTCAAACATAAAATAATTAGACATCGGTCATAGAATAGAAGAACGCCAACTTAAACAAGATCATATAAAAATTTCCCGTCGCTATTAGGAAGATTATCTCTAGCGATTGATTGAATTTTTTAACCTATGTACAACAATAGGTGATGTCCACCATGAATATTCATCGTTTAATTTCCTAATAAACTGATACAAAATCCGTTTTCATTGAATTTCTATGATTGTAATCTATAGTAAATCGAAAAAACTTCGTTGAGTATCATCTTTCAGCCAGGCTGAAGTTACACTTTTGCCACAGTTCATCTACATGAATGTAGATGAACGATCGTTTTTCTGACTTTCTCTACATTCGGGCGAACGCGGATTTTAACAGATAAAAAATAAGCTGTCCGGAAAGGGTTATATGAAACGAGCTTTACCCAATTAATTCTCTTTTAGTAATAACAATGACTCAATTATATACGTTATTGTTTATTATACTCGTTTGAATAGCTACCCACTGTAGAAATATTCAACAATAAACTAATGAGTTACGTAGAATAAACTATAGGAGTCCAGTTAATCGATGCATAAAAGTCTTCCTAGCTACTCGATAGTGGAACGAAGAGCCTTTCAAAAAATGCAGCAATACGGGCGAATCGAGTCGTTGAACGCCGCCGGTTGAATTCCACGGCGCATCAGAAAGTCGTTGTCTCGCATACTTTTGATATGCACTGCCACTGACGTTAACAGCGGGTATTACAAAGTGATAGCACACTTGCAGTTGCAATGTGATAAATACGATTCATTCAAATATAAAACTATCTACTGAGAACTTTGCTGCACTCGATTATATCTCTATAATTCGAAAAATGTTTCGTTTGATTTCCCCGCGCATAGAGCTTAACTTTCATAGAGCTTTGTTAACCGAAACAAAATAGAAATCTAAGATGTACGTTATAGCATATGTAATCGTCATGAACTTCCTTCGGCCAAGTGTTATTTTCTTACATAGATCGCACGTTCCCGGCGTAGTTTATTCTCAATCCAGATATCCCAGGTCGATCATTCCGGCGACTGAATCCGTTGAAATCTGATTCGGTTCCGGCATGGTTTTTGCCGGTTCCGACAGGTTCCTTGCCGCCGGATTCCGGTCGGTATTGCACAGGAAATATCCGAGCAGTTCCTGACCGTTTCCAGCTCGAAGTTTGCAGGAAACGGTCAGTAAATGACTGGAACCTACGTTTGAACTTCTGGCGGCAAGGAAATAGTCGGAAAACGAACCTAACCTGCCGAAACCGACCGTGCCATAATAACCTGGGTACATTGATTATTTGAGATGAAAAAATAGCTGTCACTATTCTCCTGTAGTTTATGGGAAATAAAAGTTGTTTTTTTTGTGAATCATCCAGTCCGAGAAAGCTATAGTTATTTGAGGAGGTCAAACATACTGTACGTACTCATGGAAAGCACAGCGCTTCAGTCTGACTCAAAACTTTAGACTATACAAGTGTTTACAGCCAATATCTTCTCTCAAACTTTACAGATACTAGAAGCTAATATAGCAAACAAGCAAAAATACGTTAACATGCAGATTTGG